ATGTCGAGAAGTTTTGTCGTCAAAATATAATATAGTGAAAACAAGCCTTAAGTTAAGTGAATATAATATTCATCCAGTTGAATTCTCCAACCAATTATTCATCAAAATTATCCTAGGAAAAGATCTCTGGTTTCGATCTTGTAAAACTTTGCACCATTACAAGCGAACCGCCAATAAATTAATGAGGACAAATATATTGACAGGTTGTCGATAAATAAAATCAAAAAGAATTTCGATAAGTACAATAGAAATAAACAGTAAAAATATGTTGTCGTTCCACGATCTGCCCTTGGTTTGACTGTAAAGTGAGTTATGAGGATGTACGTTTGGTAAGCTATTTAGTTATGGTGCTTCCCGACCGGTCACTCAGGAGTCAATTATCACATGTTAGCGGTATTTTGGTACTAGTCAAACATGACGGTTTAAAGCAGGTAAATTTTTTACCATTCATTCATCTTTTCGCTCATTGTGGCACTAAACACATCTGTTAGTTGCTTCATTGTGTGCTTTTCAAAAGCTCAGTGCCTAAAAAAACCAGACGGGGATTTTCGCATAAAAAAAATGTTTATTATGAAAATTTCTTGTGATAGTTGTTTCTATCTTTGGAGGATATCCACTGTCTTTCACTTGTCATATTCGAGCCACATCTCGTGTGCTATCTTATAAAACTGGATCTCTGAACATCATTTGCTTGTCAAGTTTAGATAGTACAAATGGATTTACGTGTGCATTGATCTAAGAGTATCTTATAAACATTGCTATATATTAATCCATACCAATCTTAGTCTGCTCACTCGTTTCCTTCTAGGTTCTGATGGCCACGAACCCAGACTAGTGAGATGGATATTAACTGAGTCACCGAGCGTAGTTCCACCCTGCAATCTTTCATTAACTTGGGCTTGTTTCCAATTGATAATATTTGAATATCAGGTATCACGGGTACTTAAAATTTCTTTAAGTGATATAGCATCATTCTGTACTATGATCACTACCCAAGGGACGGCAGGAGGGGATTTACATTATATATTGATAGCTGGATAAATTTCCATTACAAGTTTCTACTTCAAATTCCACTGTTTACTGAAAATTGTCTTGCAAATATTAAAGGTAACATGGACAACGAACGTGTAATCACACCACTGGAACTACCTTTTACGATCTTTTACTG